CCATCTCTCGGGTGGACAGCACAGACCTGATTATAGTGGGAGTGAAGCCCCTTGCAAAGAGTCACTGCTGTAATGTGGCTTTTGATCCCTTTTTAAAATCAAAGTGTTTTGTCTGTAGGTAAGTGTCAGCCGCACAAGTGAAAGCACAAAAACCAGATCATGAAGACTCTTGCTATAGAGAAGTCTGGGAATGTGACTGCATTCCCCACTTTTAGGTAGGGTCCTGTGCTTAGTTTAGTCTTCATTAAGATACAATGATAGACTTTTATACCAGAAATAGTATTTATGATTGGCTTAAATTGTATGTTGAGGGAGTTTGGCTAGATGAATAGACTTTTGTACCAGAAATATTATTTATGTATCTAACCAAACATGCAGTTTAAGCCAGTGAAGTCTTCTCTTTTCTCCTTGAAGGCAGTAAGTGGATAAACTTTCAGTCTTCTTTTAATGTTGGGAAATGTTTAATCTCGACTCCACTTTCTTTGTTCTGGAATAAGTTGTCCCTACTCCTTTAGCTTTTCTCGTTGGGTCATTTATTCCCTCTTCCTAAGTGTGATACTGAGGGGCCCTGGTGGTACAGTGGTTAAGCGCCCAGCTACCAACCTAAAGGTCGGTGGTTCAAACCCACCAGCTGCTCCACGGGAGAAAGATGTGGCAGTCTGCATCAGTAAGGATTACAGCCTTGGGAGCCCTATGGGGCAGTTCTCTGTCCTATAGGGTCGCTATGAGTCGGAATTGACTCAATGGCAATGGGTTTTAAACGCATTACTGTATTTTTCCCTACTTGATCTGTTTTACGATGGTCATTCTAAGCCCTTAAGAATTTTTTATCTTTGTGTGTGTGAGAAATACACACTTACGAAGCCTTTTCCTACTTGATAAACTCGTTGATGGATTATCTCCTTCAGCAAAGTTGTATTTTAGGATACCTTGCCTTTCCTCCGTCTTTATTTATTTATTTATTTTGTATTTTTTTAATTGTACTTTAGATGGTTTATAGAACAAATAGTTTCTCATTAAACAGTCAGTACA